GCCCCCCTAGCCACACCCACAGCACCTATGACCTCTGACCGCCCCCTTGACCCGTACAAACACACAAACACACTCTGCTTCGAGTCACAGTCCCGCTCAGTCGCTGCCTCCTCCTGTGGGCTACCCTCCAGGGCCCCCCACCTTGCCTTGCCTACTCGCTGCCCGGATCTCGCTCGCTGCACAAGTCGGCCACTGCAACCTCCACGCTACGCTACCATTAATATTCATCATCTCCAATAAACAGTACAACCAGACCGTCTTCTCGCCGAAAAAAAAATCTGTAAGTACGCCAGGGGCATTTTTTTTTCTTTTCTTTTTCTTGTCCTTATGTTTTCATGTGATGTGATTTTTTTTTTTTTTTTTTTTTTAATATCTGACCAAGTGCTAGTGCTAGTGTTTTTCCTCCATCATCTGTCACGTTTCTTCGAATTTCCTCATCGTGGTAGATTGTTTTAATTACATGGAAATCAATTCTTCCTTTTTATCAACAAACGATTTTTGTATTCGACTATCTATATTTTACTTGCGAGAGTAATTTTCAGAGGCGTGTCTTTGTTCAATCTAACTCGGTCATGCTTAATTAAAGGATAGATTTGTGGTATGTCACTTAATATATCATTATATGGATATATTCATATTCATTTTCTTTACTTTTTTTTTTCGAATGTTCTATGTCCGCGTGGGTATTCACAAAAGCACTGCCATATTCTAGGCAAATTCTTTCTCATTATAATTTCCCCGTTGCGTGAACCGATGCCTTTATTGGCGTAAATTTCGTCTATTATTATTCTGTGTATTTCCCTCGGCTTGGATCAACAATGCATTATTGGGATGATTTTAAAGTACTGAGAACATGGTGGAATTATCCATAAAAGATTTTTTTTTTTCTTTCTCCAGACCTCCTCACTTCTAGTTTCTAGCTCTCCCCGTCTCCTTCCTTCCACATTTTCCCTTCCTTCTCTATCTATTTTCAATATATCTATTCGGGTCGCTAGCGTTTTAATATTTTGTGCCGTGATATTGATCTAAAGTTCTTTCTTTTCTTCAAACAAGTAATTTAAGTAATATAAGTGCGTTATGTTTTGTAAGTGTGATTCTTTTTTTTTCTTTTTTTTTACTTTATTTGTATATCTTTTTTAAATAAGTTAGGTTTTGCTAATTCGTATTTTCATTTTACTTAAAACGTCCGTATGTTTTATGGGTACAAATGTTATGCCTGTTTGATTTTAATTGTGGTTTCGTTAACATTTTCGTTTCGTTGAGGTTTATTCCGTTTTTCATTATTTTCTTATATAACTTTGCAATTTGTATAACGTGAATTAATCAATTTACGATAAAGTGCCCGCGCTCTCCTCCTCCCCTTCACTTATATCTATTTCAGCTCACGCTCCATTCTATTTCTTATTTACTTTCACTCTCGCTTTCTCCATTCACTAGTGATTCTACATCTATTATATTTTCTACTCGTGTGCTATACTCTAACATACTCAATTCATAAATCTCACTCATTTACTCATTCGTCTGTTCACTATTCACCTCACTCACGCAGCCACATACACAAATATGACATGAATGGATGAATTCCAGCACGGATATGAGGACTTCATTTTCTATTTTCATTTTAACTTTGCCTCGCATTGCTGATGGTGTCAGTGATGGACAAATTCTATAAAACGAGAAAAACGAGATGTACTATAAGTAAGAATATATTGCATGTACTAATTCACAGCATACTGTTAACCTTCGCATTGTTGCATTTTTCTTTTCTCTAAGAAAGTTTGTCGTTCAAGATTGTCTTTGAGGACGCCAAAACTTTTCTTCCTTATTGTTAGGCACAATTCTTATTCTTCTAGAATTTCACCTCTATCTATCTTGAGACAATTGCAAATCAAGCAAGTCCTTGCGGACTGTTGCAATTGTCTCCCTAAACATGTTCCTGTGTCTATCTCTTGACAGTTGAATCATTTAAAATATGTATTATAAAAATTTAAAAATCTTGAATATTAGTCTCTCTCTCTCTCTCTTTCTCTCTGTCTGTCTGTCTGTCTCTCTCTCTCTCTCTCTCTCTCTCTCTCTCTCTCAGTTGGAATATCTCCAGGTTCAACAATTTGTGTTCAACTGAAGGAAAGGTTTAGGAATGGAAAGGTAAGTGTTAATTATGGTGCAGTGCCTGTTTCGTTCTGTCATATCAGCAATTATATCTTTTCCAATATTTGTCCAAAATTTACTTTAAAAA